TAACTTACCCGGTTATTATTTCAATTTTAAACCCAATTTTATTACTCAAGGTTTAAGAATCAAAGTTTGTCACTGTGAATTTTTAATAAATTAAATCATTAGTGAATTAATGCAGAATCCACAAGTAAAAATAATCTATATATGCGCATATATTTATATATATATGCTTTAAAAACGCTTTAAAAAAAGATTTTCTTTTTAGTACAGTCGTTGAGAGGGTGTTAACAACGCTACATCCGAAGAGGTGATACAAAGTGTTAGAAAAATATGACGAATAGGATGTGACTTGGCAATAAAATCGAGGACAAAAGAAATATTTGGCTTATTAATTATTTAAAAAAAAATATTAACCTGGTAATAATATCGTTTATAAATTGAAAAAAAAAATCGAAGAAAATATTTGATTCAAAATTGATTATTTATTGCAGTTTCGTAATATTTACATCTCATACATATACATGACTGTATAATTAATAAAATATGGGTCTAGTTTGATCCATATAGATCACTAATTATTCACCAGTTTCACTTCGTATGTTTCTCTTGTTTCTAGATTTATTTGTGTATTCTTTGCCATGGACAACTCTGTAACTAAGAAAAAGTATTATTTTAATTCTTTTAAGAATTTTGTTCTTTTAAAAGATGGATACAACAGTTCTATAATTAATTTTGTTGTAAATTGTCCAGATCCCTTTCAAGTAGCAAAACTTACAGATTTAAATAGTTTTATATCTACGTGAGGGATAAAGGGTGATGTCAGTCCTTTTTCCCAATAAGGTTTATCAAAATATGGGTATTTGCAACATAAATCACAAAATCTGAATATTGATCATTGATCAGTTCTGAATCACAGTTATCAGAGAGCCTTTTCAAAAAAAAAAAAAAAAAAAAAAATGGGGGCCCCAATTTTTAAATTTCTTATGAAATATATTTCTTAAATCTTACTTATAATAAATGCATTGGAAAATATATCAACACTCTTTCACTATGTTTTTCTTACTTCTGTTTGTTTAATACAACCACCACTGTAGACTTCGGATTTCTGTCGTAACACTTGTTGATTCTATCATTTATTTTTCTAGGATATGGATTCCACTTCCCATTATAATCTCGCCATAGCCATTGATTTTCCGCAGTGTATGTCTCAGATTCCTGTGACCCATCAGCTTCTTTATTTTTATTCTATCTAAACCAAACGAAGTGAAAGAAGCAGGGTTTATTAATAATTGTATACATACAATCGCGTACATCTTGATTAAGTTTATTCAATTTTAAGAGGTTTATTATATTCGTCATTTACAGGTCCTCCTCCGGAATACGACTCCATCTTTTCACAAACGAACCCGAATCCTCGCAGGTTGACGGACAATCCATATCTCCAAGATGACAGAAACCTATGGGAAAAACTTCATGAATGGTTTGAAATGTCCAGTAAGTCAAAAAAAAATATCCGAGTGTCAATTTTTTTATGAGATGATCCAGGGTAGGGTCCGGTGCAGTTGAATATACTTAGTAATTTTTCATAACATGTTTCAATATTGGATGTTCTCGGTCTATTTCATTCTGGTGAACAGAACTTCACGTGATTTAATTCATGCGTTGTCTCAACCAATCACTTAATTATTCAATTTTGATTTCAATAATGAAACAATATTGCTGGGATTCACTAAGGCAGTTTATGATTAAGCCTCTCTTGCAGTACAATTTTCATCTCAACTTTTGGGCTCGGTGAATACATGTATGTACTCCGACGGTCTCGGTGAATGTTGTTCTTATTATGTGACTTAACCATTTTATTGACTTCAAAAATAGCAATAATAGTACGGTATATCTTTTTCTTTTACTTGTTCTAAAAGATTATATTACTTGTAGCACTTGAAGTAAACATTATGTATGTTTTCATTGCAATAAATATTCTTGAATATGGTTGGAAAAATAAACTTATGTTTATTTCAGTTTTACAACAGATTATATGGCTGGCAGCTCTGGCTTTTTCTATATCATATATTTCTTACGGTAAGTCAAATTTACTTGCAACAGTAAATACACAGTACTAGTAATTGTATGTGATAACTCTATATTTATAATGTCCACGACAAAATGAGAAAGATAAATAATTATGAACAAGTTTATTATATATTACTATTGACATTTTTTTAATTAAAAAAATGTTTGCGTACAGTTTTAATGCTTTGTACCTACAAATGACTCGGTCATTTCATAATCTTTAATTCATGCAAAAGAAACATTGAATAAATTAAAAATAGGGAGACATTCTTAACCAATCTAAGGTAACCAGAGATGAAGGAATTTTTTCATACTTTCTTATCAATTCCTTTATGACATTTAACCTTCAAAATAATACAATGTAGTTATATCTTTTAAGAAAAAAAATCTAAAAATATATATTTCGAACATAAAGTATTGAATGATCATGTTTTGTGAACCCTGAAGTATTTTGACCTTAAATAATTTAAATATTTCAAAGTTTCAATGACTGATGCATCATGCTTTTTTTCACAAGGATTAAAGTATGATGGAGGCTGTTCCTGGAAAGTTTTCAATAACAATTCAGAAGTAGTGGAGGGAGAGGATCTCCCTTCTTTCATACAGACTGAGGGTAAGATCCTGTGTGTCGCTATCCTATACGTATTTTTATGTCGATTTCGTACCCTGTTGGAGAGCTGCCGTACCGAACGTCAATCTAGGAATGAATTTGAGGGAAAGAAAAACTGTGATTGGCTTCTGTTTATCATTGGCCCGGCAACGTACATTATTAATTTCGGTTTTTGTGTCACAGGTAAGTTTTCTTTCTTTCTTTATTTATCTATTAAATTTTATAATATATTTTAAACACTCGCAGTATTTGCAATTAAGGTACATTTATACTCTGATAAGAGAGATAACTCTACACGACACGACATGTATTCGTAAATAGATTTGTCAAGTATAAATGTCTTGTATCTTAATTTTCACCGCAAGCTATGATATGATTGTTTGCATTTTACATATGAAATACATTTAAGAAAGTCCTGAAAGTTAATGCAACAGAGGGTTTATGAACCAAAAAGACAAATAAAGTGCAAGTGGCCAATCATATGGATAGCTTCAACTATTAAGTGACTTTCAATATCTATCATTTTGAAATATGAATACATGCTAGTTTTTTTAACTTAACAATTGTTTATGAAACACCAAGTCTTAAGGAAGAAATGAATTTCATGTTATGGACTTAATTATTCTTTATTTTTCCTTCTTTTTTACAGGAGCCACAAAAGTTTTCCATTTTTATGACGAGAAAAACTTTACAGAATTAAAAGAAAAAAATGAAACGTATACGATGAAATGCAACACAGATTTCTACAGCTTTTATTATAATGCCAAAATAATAGAACTAGTTGTGTTAATATCGTACACTCTTTACATCTTTATTGCCATGATTTATATACCATGTCTAAAAAGTAAGTTTGTTATCCCTATATTTTTTTCTCATTTATAAGAATTAAACTAAGTTTTGCCATCGCCTTTTTTCTATAAAATCCATTGTATTAAATGGAAAGGAATTTAAAGAGGAAAGGAGTTTGTTTGAATAAAAAATAAATCATATCATCAAGACGTATATTATTCAAATAAAAAAGAACACTTTCAAGTCATAAATTTGGAATTTCGCATTTATCTATGCAGAAACATTAACTCGTTCATTCTTGTTTAAAACAAATAAGAAAGAACTGGGTCTTTAACCAGATTTTCATAAAACACTAACATAAACGTTTTAATTTCCTTGTAAAATATTTAATTAAATTCTTAAAACATTACATGTTTTATGTTAATTCAGCTTCTAAAATTTTAATTACAAAATAAAGCAAGTTTTAATATATATTTTTTAAATGTATAGAAAGATGGTTTCTACGACGCAAATGGCGTCAATGGGTCAGACTTCTTGACGCAGACCAAGATGGCGTCATCAGCGCTGATGACATGGAAAGGACCAACGTCAAGCTGGAACAGATTCGTAGACGTGTTGGTGATAGAACTACTCCTCTGTCTGCTGAAGAACAAAAGAGATGGTGGAACGAATACATTTATAAGGGCGTTTCTGGAGAAAGCATAGCGATGTCTAATTACGTATTTTGGTTGGAATCAAGCGCTTCTCCTCATGATATGGCAAGCAAACTCAGACCAATGGTTACGGAGTTTTTTAACTTCTTCTCCACGGAGGATTTTCGGAATAAAAATATCATCATGAGTGAAGAAGATTTTGTCAAGTTTTGGGCCATTCTTGCTGGAGTCGACGAATGTCATTGCAGAGAAATATTTGCTAAGCATTTTCCTTCACCACTAACGATGGCTTTATTCTTGGAAGACTTTGTGGTTTTTCTTTCACAGCATGCATCTTGGAATGAATATAGCCACAGAGTATTTAACGTTCTGAAATATAAAGATACTAGGTGCTGCAGAGTGTGAATATTTTCATAAACTTTTTCATACGGCATCAACATTTATCTCTGTTATTTTGTTACAGAGGTGGAGTTTTCAGAAATAAAATTACCAAGTAAATATGGCATACGGAATACATTCTGCTCAATGCATGTTTTTTTTTTTTTAATTTCCCTAGAGATATTTTTATGAAAAATCTCATCAATGTATTTTTTCCAGAAAGGGGTGAGGTAGATGTTTATCTGCCTTTCCACGTTACACGTACCTTCATATAGTATTACACTGTCTATGACTTATTATACGGTTGGAGACAATCGTTTTATTCCAAAAGCCAACCATTTCAAGCTGAGACAGGTGTTTGTGTTCTGAAACTTGCATCTATACGGGGATTACAAAAATGTGATATACGCCGACATATGTAAATTATATATCTTAAAGTTTATAATTATTGTTTAAATATTGTTTTAATATAGGAAAAGTATTAGAACAAGCCAAAAAGTCACTATGTACCATACATGCTAACCAAGCTTACCAAATATTAAAACTATACTTTTATTCGTTTTGTTTCTAACCGTTACATCATTACTTGTTCTTATTTGATAAATACAAGGTTTCCTGTTCAAACCGAAAGTTGGCATATTTGATTATATTTACATTCAGTGTAATTTTCCTTATGAAATCCATTAGAAATCTACGACGTTCAAATTTCTATAATACACGCGAAACCTTGTCACCGAGCGTTAGAATACATGGTAGGAACTTCATGCAATTTCAATGCTCTAGGAACGCCAAATGTAAAAGGTTTAATTTCAATAAAAAAAAAATTGATAAAAAACTATTACCCTGAAAAATGAACGTAAAAATTAACGAAATGTGCGTTAAGAATTAATTTGTCACTTTTTTCCTCGCAATGTTTGTTTACGTCATTTAACTTTGCAACGTCATTTAACGTCATTTGACGTCACAAACGGCTCTTACATCTATGTACCACGGCAGTTTTGAAGAGTGCTAAATTCACATTGAAGATTAGCGAAATAAGCAATTATGGAGAAGGAAAATTAGAGAATGTAAATATAAGCATTGAATTCATATTTTGGATTGTCTTTGGTCCTATAACACACCTGGCCGTGCCGACGAATTATCATACCGCGCTAACGCGCGGTATTCAATTTGTCGGCACGACTATGTATCAACAAGAAGAGAAAACATAATGCTTGATGATTTAGTTCGGTACTATTAATATCATTAATTTAGAAAGGTCAGGGTCAGAGGAACACAAAAAGTAGCATTTCTTTTCAATGTTATATATGAAAATAGGGTCATAAGAAAAAAGTTTTTGTCAAATGTCCCATTGTAATTTGTTTTCTTTCCAGGATTTATGAATTGGTGTTGAAATGTTTATATTTCTTGTTGTTTTCTCTGTGATAACTGCGAGGGGTGATCAAAAAGTTTGCAAACTAATTGAATATTTTTAAAAATATTTTTCAAAGTGAGATTTTGAGCTTATTCTTTTTCAAAGTAGGCCCCTCTAGCTTTTATGCACTTTTCCCATCGGTCTGCCCATGCGCGAAACACGTGATCCAAGCCATCACGTGACATGACCCTTAGCGCCTTGTTCACAGCAGTACCAAGATTTTCCCCGGGGACTCATATTTTTCCCCCCGTAGGTTATCTTTCAAAACTGGAAATTGCCAGAAGTCAAATTGCCAAATCTGGGCTGTAGGGGGGATGAATTAGGTTTTCATACCCAGTGTTTCCATGGTGTCCATCACAACCCGACTTTTATGGCTAGGTGCGTTATCATGGTGCAGAATAAATCCAGATCTTATCAATCTGGGCGCTTTCTCTTTACTGCTCTCTTCAAATCTGATTTGATAACCCGTGCATAGTAGTCCCCAGTAACTGAAGTTTTTGGTGGTATCATGTGATTTAGAATTATACCGTTGATGTCACAGAAAACTATGAGCATAACCTTCCCTGCTGACTTGGTTACGCGTGCTTTTATTGGTGATGGCGAGGAAGGATGCTTCCAAATTGAACTTTGTTGTTTACTTTCTGGCTCATAGAAATGTATCCAAGTTTCATCACATGTGATGATTCTATTCATGAACTAATTTTATTCTTTTTCATATCTACTAACGTAGGACTGGCACGCATTCACTCTCACCCTCATTTGCTCTGGCAGAAGGAGGCGAGGGACTCATCTCGCACAAACTCGCTGCATGTTAAGCTTACTGGTTAAAATCTCTTGAACTGTTCCATAAGACATGCTAAGATCATCAGATATTTCCCTAATCGTAACTCTTCGATCTTTCATTACATATTGTTCAACCTCAGACACGTTTATCTCGGTACTTAGGTTCAGCGGGCACCCAGATCTATCATCATCTTTCACCGTCTCCCTTCCCTCAATAAAACGTTTCATCCACTTACTTATTGTACCTTTTGAAAGCCCACATTCCCCATAAACTTTATGTAAATCATCGTATATTTCCGTGAAGGATTTACCTAGTTTTACATACAATTTTATTATAGTTCTTTGTTCAAGTACGATTGACTCATCCATTTTCGTCACAGTCGCCTCTATATTGACGTCATTTTTACATAATGACGTCATAATTATGACGCACATTTCAATATACTCATACTGCATAAAGCACATGTTTAGGGCAATTTTTAA